ACACCTAACTTGAATAATAATTATGCAATTGGATTTTTCTAATTAAAAGTAACTTAGGCGTTTCACCTTGGTCAATCATATCATTAGTTTTACCTTGTTTTTCTAAATCAAGTATAATTTGACTCAACTCAATTAAGGTATTTCTCCGAAGTATCTTAACATGTTTTATATAGCTAAAATAAATAAAGTCTATAGTTTCTTTTCGAAGCAAATCTATCGGTAGATGTATCTTTTTCACCGTAGCTCCGATTAGCGTGCTTTTCGCGTCTGTGTGCTCGTAGCAATGCGTAGATTAGTTTTCAAACCTTCTTATTGTCTAGTGTACTGTTCTAATTTAGTTTTATTGTTTGCTTCGTGTATGATTACATGGATGCTTGTGTGGTGCTTTATGATCATGTCCAGTCGGTGAGCTTTACGTGTTGATCAAGAAAGAGTTCCATTGAAGGTTTGGATTAGAAGAAAGATCTAAGTTTAAGGCAAGTATAGCGTGGGATCTTTCTTGTTATCCTATACACCTTTAATCATTTAATTCACGTTGCATGTGTCTACCTTGGTAACCGTAGTAATTTTCCTAGCTAATTGATATCTTGGATTTTTTAACACCTTTGTGTTATTGCATTGGGTAGTATGATGCTAGTGCTCAACTACGACCATGATCTTGTAACTTAACTAATGGTATATGCAATAAACACTAAAAGATGCTTTTTAGTAACATGGAACAAGGGGGCTAGAGCATTGGGCTATTTTATGGTGCTCTAGATTTCTCTCCCTAAGGACTTATCTGTAAGCGAACATCCGGGACTTACAGTACAGCTATGAGGGCTACATGGTTCTGGCTTTAGCTCAGTATGAGGACATTTTCTAACCTGTTAGTGGTTACCTTTATTGGCGTAAGAATGGCTTAACGAATCGGCTATAGTATGTCCTTTGTCCCCTTGTGTATAGGTTGCACGTCATTGTGCCATCGGGAAAGGGGGCTCTACATCTGTTTGCCGAGTGAATCTAATGGCCCTAACTTGTTAGACGAACCTTTGAAAGGCTTTATAGTGAACCCTGCCGACCTTCCTTGGTAGTGGGTCAAGAGGTTGGCCGCCTCGGACGAAAGGGTAAATCACGACTCACAGTGAAAGTGTATAACCTCTTCAGAGTGTAAAACTGGTATATCAGCCGTGCTCACGGTCACGAGCGGCCTTGGAACCCTTAGGGAATAGATGATGAACACTGATGATACGGATGATGAAGATGCTCACTAATGATTACTATTTATGATATTCATTATTCATGTTTACCTGATCGTGTGTTTATATGGGCTTGTGATAAACTTGTTGCTACTCAATTGCTAAAATCATGACTCATTAAAAGCTAATCGCAGTTAAACCAGTGTCAGCCTTTTGAGCCTCATGAACTATATGTTATATTTGTTGAGTATGACATGTACTTATGCTTGCTTTACTTTTCAATTATTTGGAAAAATCTCGGATGGATACCAGATTACTAGAGTTTGGAGGAATTAGGCTTGTGATCAACTAGTCAGTTGTCCCTGTGGAATTAGAGTCTTCACCCGAAGATCGGAGTTGTCTTTCCACCGTTTGCAGTCTAAGGTTATATTCTTTATACTAAGTACGTTATATATTGAGCATTGTCTTTCGATATTACCCATATTTATAGTTATATGTGAGATTTGACTTCATGTGCTCACATATGGTGTGTATCTAGTTTTGTTCTTAAAACCGGGTGCTACAATCCCTCTTTTTCTCTAGTCTCCATGTAGGGCTGTCTCCAGGAATTTGGGGCCCAAGAGCAAAATGTAAATTGGAGCCCTCATGTTCATCGAGGCTGGAATGTTGCATATGGCACGGCGGCAGAATTACGAAACGAGATCGCAACGGCATGGCCGATGGGCGAACGAAGATATGGAGTCACGTAGTAGAGATTGCGAGTCTCTATGTTTCAATTGCCGCAATCGGCAGCTAAACATGATTACACCATAAGTTATGGGTTAGAAATAATTAAGAAACTAATAACAGAGAAGTGCTTGACGCCTGAGCTAAATACTCAAAATCTGAACTGCTATGAGCCATAGGGTGTAAATTTGGGGTCCTATGTTTTTTGGGGGCCTGAGCGGTCGCTCACCTCGCTCATGGCCTTCAACGCCCCTATCGCCATGTTCTCATTCCTCAACAATTAGGGTTTCTGTGGCGACGCAGCAGCCCATCCTGAGGCGGCAGCGAGCCCCGAGGCAGCACTCGTGGGGGTAGAGTTGCAGGGAGGTGCTCGGGGGCTTGCCCCCTCCAACTCCAATGGCGCGCATCTAGAAGCCCGGTGGTGCTCGGAAGACAGGCAGATCCGGTGACGTCAACGTCTCAACGGTTTGGCGCCACTCTAGCTGTAGATCCAGTGGAGGTGGATCTGGCGGGTACTCACGGCCGCTTGTGCTCTTGACGACGGCGGTGGAGGTGGCTCGTGGCCGTCTAGATCTGAGCAACGATGCGTGCGGATCCGGCTAGCAGCGGCGGTGGCGTGTCAATGGGCTCAGCAGGCCCCATTGACAAGTTCACTGGTATTTTATTTTTTTAATTTATTAATAGTGACGGCGAAGTGGAGGCAGACGGCCTGTCTGCCTTCGTTAATAATTTTTGACCGACTCAGAAAATGAATACGTTAGTAGTGGATAGATGATCAAATTTTTATGGGAATGAAACTAGTAGGGGCCATAACCTGGTTTAAGAGGCAGGTGGTAGTCTAAATCCAGAGTGAAGTGTGACACAGAATCACATATTCCTCTACCTAAGTGGGGTTGATAACAATCGAAGACAGAGAATATTCCAATATAGAAAACAAAATTGGTCGATTCGAATTTTTTACACGTTGTAAAATGAACAAGCATAAAGACAGTTATAAAACTGGTTGAAAATGACAATTTATATTAAAATGAAAATGTTACATAATATGGAAAATGGTATCGGTCGGTACGGGATTTGTCATTCATTTTTTACCCATATACTTGAGTAGCTGTGGTAGAGTTTTGATCCGTGCTTTGTTCCTTAGCTCTTGTGAAACTAGCTCGACTATTTTGTTTTTTCTTCTCACCATGTCCTAAAATGGTAAGGAGCTATATTTGTAGGGGTCTCATCAGGCATCAAGCCAATTATGGTTCTAAAATTTTGCATGTGTCAGTCACTACTAAGGGAAATACTGGACATGAGTGGAGTGATATCTTTTGACCGTAGATCGTTGTCACTTATTAGGTATTAGATATGCTGAATTTATATGAATCTAAGAGTCTCTTTGGCATGGCTCTAGCTTCATGCGACTCTTGTCGTGGAGCCACACTAAATGACAATCTTAAAAACGGTTTATTGCAAGGAGCCTGGAGGAGACAAAGCTGGTTTTTTTTTTATCAAGGAGCTAGAATCACGAAAACATGATTTTTTTTCTTGCTCCTTATAAATTTGACACAAATTATTATATATAAAATTGCTATAGGACCCGTTTTTATCAAACGGTTTCAACTCCACTAGTGAAGTTGTTCCATCTATGAATATAAGGTTATATCCTAGAAATTTTAGGATAAATTATTGAGTAAACCAAATGATACATGTAGCCCTCACATAATTATAAAGAGATTTTGTGCTCATCATATTTTGAACCTACGATGGATACTTATAGTAGGTATACATGTGATTGGTGTTTTTGAAGTTAATTTACCTAAGGTACCTTATAATTTAACACAAATTCTTGAACACTTCGATTCTTTATATTTCTGTACGGAGGGAGTATAAAAAGAGGAGGTAGGGCCTGCCAAATTAGCCTAAATATACTCTTAGGGGGTGTTTGATCTGGTGACTAAAATTTAGGAGGTGTCACATGAGGGTGTCGTATGTGGTGTTCAGATACTAATAAAAAATAAATTACAGAATCCGTTAGTACTCCACGAGATGAATTTATTAAGCCTAATTAACCGTTATTAGCACATGTTTACTGTAGCACCACGTTGTCAAATCATGGACTAATTAGGCTTAAAAGATTTGTATTGCAAATTAGTCGCAAACTGTGCAATTAGTTTTGTAATTAGTCTATATTTAATACTCCATACATGTGTCCAAACATCCGATGGGACAACGACTAAAGTTTAGGAGGAGAAACCAAACACCGATTGAGTGCTTTTTGTCTGTAGTAGTGCACATTCATTTAACAGCAAAAGGTGTTTGGTGTGCAATAAGGGCAGCTCTAACCATTGGATTTTAAGCTACCTCTAACTATTTTTCTTATATTTTAATAGCAGAGAGAGAAAAATTAACTTTTAATTGAGAGCTAAGCTTCTGCACATATTCTAAGGTTACGTGAGAGTGTTATATGGGATCTATTCATGCTAAAAAGTATGTGCTAAAAATTAACGCTATTGAAAAGATTGGCTTACAGCTGACCATTGCGGGTGCCCTTTCGGTGGCATATAAATATAATTTTCCAAACATCTGGGAGTACTACTCTACACATAGGTCTGAGTTACAGCTCGATGACAAGTGGACCATGAGCCAACAGAAAATTTTGTAATAGTATAACTAAATTCGTCCCCTGAAGTCACTGATCGTTGGGCCCAAAAATCAGAGGGCACACTCTCACCAACAATCTGTCCCTTATCCCCTTCTCTGCTTCGTGGGGATTTTTTTTTTGTGTTATATTAAAAATGATCGTAATGTTCTATGTGTTTTTAGAAAAGTTTAGCGATCTTTAGCGTCACTGTTCTAACTTTTTTTTTTCTCTCCATGCCGCTGCCATTAGTTTAGGCTCTAACGCCGTTAAACTGTAGGTGTGAAAAGTCGAAAATACCCTTAAATATAAATATATCATTAATTTTTTTAAACATCTTAATGACTTTAAATAAAAAAACTCAAAAATAGAAAGTTGTAGTTGAGATCTATAATTTTCGTATAAAATTTATCTTTTTTAATTCCGCGGAGGTCCGATTCCTCCCCGCTCCCAACCGCGCAACCCTGTCCATGGCGCGCGCGGTGCGGCGGCGAGCCCCCGTGCATTCCAGCCGGCGGCGCGCGACTATTCCTCTCCGCTCGCCCCCTCTCCCTCTTGTAAACCCGCCCCACGCGTCCTCATGGTTCCGCCGGCCTACACCGGCTCCCCCTGCCAGGGGTCTGCTGCTCTCTTCTCCAAATCTCGAGTGCCGCCGCCGCCGCCGCGTCTTCTTCTCCGGCGGGTCCGGGGACGCCGTCGGCCGCGGGGAGGTACGGCGTCCGCGTAGCTCCGTCGCAGGAGAGGCGCCGGCCCGCCCCTGCGGAAGCGCCGCCCCTCGGAGTCGTCCCATCCCAGCTCCCGGAACAGAAGCGGCATTGGACGGCGACCGCTGCCGTTGGGGGTGGCAGCGGACGGCTCACAGCAAAAAGAATGTCATACCTGCCCAGCTCCGAATGTGCACGGTGCAGGTGCGTTCAGGCCTACTACTACTGGTCGTCGAGGATGAGTTAGTGAGCAGTTCGTCTTGGTTACAGGCAGCTTGTATTTCTGTGGCATGGTTCCCCTCTCGTCAGAGCTGTATATAGTGGCTTGTCAGCGACGACCAACAGTATTTTTCTTTCGCAACAAAGCAGTTTTTCTTTCGCAACAAAGCAGCACCAGCCGGAACCAGCACCAGCAGCTTATCAGTCCAGAAACCAACCTGCCGGCGGAGTATCTTTGTGTTCCGGATTGCTTTTGGTCCTATCATTTGTCGCAGTGGGATCAAGGCTGGCTACTCTATACATACATACTGCCCATTGAATCTGGGCAAGTTGGTAATTTCTCTGTCCTGGAATGGAATGAGTGGAAATTAAAGTATATATACAGGGAAAGACCTCCGCAGTTGACTACTGCACTTCCAGGAAGACTCCTGATCTGAGATAGTTCAGGGACAGTCGATCTAGGCATCTAGCCAGTAAAGCCCCTCTGTTCTCTTCTCTGCCACATTGACATAGCCAGTAAGCACAGGAATTGTTGGAGAAGAACCATTGAAGCAATACATGTCGATCCCAGCCTGTAAGCCAACCACTCTCTCGCTTCGGCCTTCCCACTTTCCTTTGGTCTTTGCAAGTTATCTGATTTTTTTTTCTCTCCAAGCAAACCACAGGTGGTGAGCTAGCGTGCGTTTCTAGCAAGTCATGAATCAGATTCAGATCTGCTGCTCATGGAGCACAGTTACCACTTCGTTCACAGTCAGCACTTGATTGACATATATCAGGCACACAAAAAGGTAACCAAACAAGACATCAGTCATACATTACACCTCGTCTTGTATTTGTTTGCTGTTTTGCAGTTTCATTATGACTTTGTTTTCTGTTGAAAGTGCACAACTATTTAATTTCGCCAAGTATTCTCTATTTTAACCATTGTGCAGCCCTGGTTGTTATTAATTTGTAGATGGGGTAGTTTGGATTGCTGAGGCGAACACTGCCCTGGTTACCTAATCCTTAGCAAAATGATTTTCAGAGGACGGGAATGGATTCATACTCTGGCCTCCTGTGAAGGCCGCACCAAGTGGTGCTTTCAAAAAGGAAAAAGGATTAATCCCCTTTGTTGAAGCAGGTCCTAACTGTCCCGTTTTCATATATTCTGTCTATACATCTCAATAAGGGATCAGTCCATCTTTCCCAAAATTTGATTTCCCTTTTTGTTGTCTAGCAAGCAATTTCTCGTTGCTTGCTCTTGCATTTTTCATGGTTGCTCCTTGCTCTGTTTTCATTCTATGGAGGAGTTTAGAACTCTTATGAATGATTATTATACATCTGGACACTGCATAAACTTTATTTTTTCTTTCTGGTAACTGTGTGAATTTTTTTTCCGATAATATATGACTGTTACTCTTACACATAGGATTTTTTTTTCAACTATCTTTAGTATAAAAATGTCATTTATCTAGAAGTTGCCATTTTTATTCTCTGCAATAATTCTCTGTTTATTCGCTCATTCCTTTGATACTCTTATATTGATTCACTCCAAACAGCTCGTATCAATTTGCTAGCCCACAAGAGCGCTTGTTTCTTGTTCTGCTGTATGCTTTTCTGAGAAATTGTTTCGCAGGTTGGAGCAACCCCATTTATTTTTCCTATAAAAGTGCTTCAGTAATCAGGAATGGATAATGGAGCTACTGAACATGAAATATTTGAGGAAAAATTGGAGAAAAAGCTGCAGGATCCTGATGCAGAACCAATGTATTTGTCACTGGAATTTTTGAAAGTCATCACAAGCGATTTTTCCACTGAACGAGAACTTGGCAGGGGTGCGTATGGAGTAGTATACAAGGTATGACCATTCCTCTTCGACTCCAATTTTCAACCGATGACAACAGTAATAGATAATGAATGGTTCACCTACCTGATATGAAGGGAGTTCTCCAGAGTGGCAAAGTTATTGCTGTAAAGAAGATTTTTGATGCACATCTGTTGGACAGCAATAATAAATTCGAGAATGAGATCACATGTCTTATGGGAGTCAAGCACCAAAATGTAGTACAACTTGTAGGTTACTGTGTCCAAACCAGGTCGGAAGTGATGAAGCTACCGAGTGGGGAACATGTTATGGTTGAAATACCTGCATGTTTGCTCTGTTTCGAATTTCATTGTAAGGGAAGCCTTGACAAGCATGTGTCTGGTATGTTGAAATACAATACTACGTTCTTTCCTTTGCAAGCTTTACTTGATTAGAACACACATGCAACTGTGCCATTATATCAATAGCCACACAATTCAATTATAATCAAGATACAAATATATCACCCATCCAAACAGAGGTGGTGGTTTTCATGGCACCATTACAGTATGTGCTATGCATATATTTTTTTGTTCTATTTCTACAGATGACCTTTTGGTCCTTGGTTGGGATATGAGATATGAGATAATTAGGGGAGTTTGCAGAGGCTTGCATTATCTTCATGATAAATGTCATATTGTTCACCTGGACCTGAAACCTCAAAACATACTGATGGATGCCATGATGATTCCGAAAATTGCGGATTTTGGTTTGTCAAGGCTTTTGGGTGAACAAAAATCCAAAACTGTCACTACAAACTTTGCTGGAACGCTGTAAGCTATGCCTCTTGCTATAGCTTCATTTTTTTTACTATTTTCTACAGCTCATTATGCAAAATTCTTCTGCAGTGGATATATGGCACAAGAATACATAGACCGCGGAATTATCTCCCCTAAGGCAGATATATTCAGTTTGGGTGTCATAATCATAGAGATAATCACAGGTCGCAGGGACTATCCCAGTATCGGCGGGAGAACTGAAACATCTCTCAAGCACTTCACAGAAGAAGTAAGATTATTCAGCATTATGCAACATAATTTTCCACCTTTGTTATGCATTTTTTTTTTGATAAATTATTTATGCAAATGTTTAGGTGGTTGGAAGCCTACCCCAACTTGTTTGGGACTTAAAGGCTTTGTTGTTGTTGTTGTTGTTGTTGTTTAGGTGGTTGGAAGTTGGAGGAAAAGACTAGAACTAATACCCATGCATATGTCATCGGAAATGCATATCCAGCAAGTGGAACAATGCATCTCTATAGCCCTGAAGTGCCTGGAACCTGACTCGAATAAAAGGCCTACTTCACTGGACATAGTTCAAAGTCTAAATGCAGAAGAAACAAAATCTAGGTCTCTTGAAAACTCCACTAGTGTTGCTGAGAAGGTATGATCTCTAAATACACAGTGCGCTTCTCCACACTTAATTTCTTAAGGGTGTCCAAATAAATATGGCTGCTTGAACAACATAACCACTCATGCTTCATTTTTCTGATCTTAATTAGTGTACCTGTTATAGTTGTAATGTCAGTTATCTATTTCTGTTGTTAGAAATTAGCCCTCGGAGCATCTCCAAGAGTACCCAATAAAGTCTCCCAATCCAGGATTTTTAGCAAGATTGGAAAAAATCCTTCTCCAACAATTCCCAATCTCACCTCCCAATCTTTTGGCGCTTGGAAAAAATCTCTCCCACACGCGTAAAGATCCGCGCTCTTCCCGTCGCGTGTATCCCTCACGCTAGTTTTTCCCGGGAGTCGACGTAGTCCCGCTCTGCGGCATTGTAGACTAGGCCCAGGTCGAGCGCCTGCTGCGGATGGACGAGGCTGGCACCGGCTGCCATCGGCGTCACGCTGGCTCTGGCCCCACCACCTCTGCGGCCGTTGTCTGCGATGGACCTGCCGTGGCTGTCGAGCGTTGTCTGCGGCCGCTTTTTTGCCTTAGTAATGGATGGGAGGAACCAAGGCCGGTGGACGGTCATCGGAGCTGCGTGCAGATTGATCTTGGTTTGAGTTTTGTCATCTTCTCATCCTGACCTGGTTACAAAACGCAGCTCATTCTTCTTCGTTATCGTTCTAATTTGATTGCACGTGGTGCTGGGGCCGCGCCGACCTGCTCGCGGCGGCCGTACGCTACCACTACACGCTCGCCAACAGGCAGGCAGGGCGAGAGGTGCGGGAGGAAGAGAGCATCCCGGAGCTTGAGGAGGACGACGCCGTCGTCAAGCAGGTGGCCGGTGAATTTTCAGCGCCCCGGAGTGGCGCAACCGACGCAGCTCGCTCGGCGGCGTCAGCAGCAGCATTGCCGAACCAGCCGACAAAGTGCTGCCCGACGACGAGCAGATCGGGGAGATCAGGAGAATATGAAGTTTTGGTATCCAATTTTGGGGAATTGTTGGAGTTGCAACTTTTTTTTTGTCTCCCAATATATTTTGTAAAGGTTGGAAAACCAGTTTTTTGGGAGTATTTTTTTGGGTACTCTTGGAGATGCTCTCACAGTGACAAGATATTCAGTAATCTAAATGTGCGGAAGTGTCGTTTGGATTTACCGAGATGAACATGCAAGATTGATCACATACGACACTAGAGGCTCGATATTTGTTGACGAGGTTTAACCGAAGCCTACATCCTCAAGGCATGACTACGAGCACTCCTCCCAATGCAACATTAGTCGCTCTAGAATATCGGCAATACGCCGTCTCCCTTCTGCGAGCCAGTCGTTATGTCATCATAGTTACAACAATAGCCCAAAAACAAGGATACAAGAGTCCGACACCAACTCTACCCCATACTGCCAAATACAATTCAAAGTCCTAAATATTCGACACATATCTGACGGCATTATGAAAGCAAGTACTCACTTGTCCAGGCTGGTATAACAGGTAACTTTAGTTGTGTCTTATCTATGATCCCTAATTTGGACACGTGGAATGCTTGCAATTTATAGCCCTGACCTATATGATACCATATATTGGTTGGCCTTATGCTGTTGAATCTCTCCTACTCCTATATAGATCTATGAATTGTGGCTAGCCTCTATTACTAACCTTGGGGATTTGAGAAGATAGATACATTCTCCAGTAAATGGAGATGACTATATATAGGAGGCTAAGTAAAGTGGGGAAGGAGGTGCAGGAGAGGTCGGTGGCTCGACTTTGGCCGGCGTGGATGTGGGATGCGGCAGTCGAAGACGGTGGATGTGGATGTGGTCGAGTTTTAGTGTAGACGCAGATGGGAAATAAGGGAGGGAACGGAAGCAATAGAAGAGTTGGGGCCTTGGTTTTTTTTAACTTTAAATACAACAGGGGAGATCCCCACTGTAAGGATTTTATTATATTAAAAAACAACAAAAAGAACAACACCACTGTACAAAGAGGGAGTGGGGACAAGAGGAGCCAGGGGGCTACAACTAAGAGAACTGCACCGGCTGTACAAGCAGAAACAAGCCAACAAAGTTAAGCTAGGTCAGTAAGAAGGAAGAGTTGGGGCCTGGTGACCCTAGGAATGAGAGCCTCAGAGAAAAATTTGAGCTCCTCGTACCTTTGGGTGCCTTAGTTGGTGCCTTGCTAGATTTGGTTTTTTCCCCCTACACCCAAAAATAGGATACGATCCTGCTAGAGTTGCCCTTAGAAATGCCGAGTTTAAGGAGAATATGTTGTTCCTTTTTCAATGCAAACACTTGGCCATTTGTTGAACAAGAAGACAATTGTCTTGGGTGCTTCTCCCTTTTACAAATGCACTCTCTGGAAACCAGCTTAGGCTATACAAATGCCAGCCTATTAGCTGTCAGCTTCGCAATTAATTTAGCACAGCTGTGAATGAGGAATAGGACAAAAATTCTTAGTTGTACGACATAAGCCTTTTCTGGTAAAAGGGTGATGAAAGAGGTGTTGAGAAGCTTGAATTTTGAAACATGGCCATGCTTCGAATAATCACTTTAGGCAACACTTCTTTAAGTGTGCAGTAAATCCATGAGGTCCTAGAGCCTTGTTAAGTCATAATTCCTTGATAGTAACCTAGACTTCTTCCTCAGTAAAATCATCTTCCAGAGCACTCACATCATGTTGATGTGTTGCTGGTTATTAAAGACTGGAAGAATCAAGATTGACATCCTGGTCATGAGATGAGCCAAGGATGTTCTCTAAAACTCAAGCACCATCTCATGTTTATCATCCTGGTCAGAGATCACTTCTTCTCCCACCATTAACTCCTGATTTGGAGGGACCATTGCCGACTAGTAAATTATGTCACACTCAGAAGTACAATGGGTAACACACAAGACACATAGGTTTAGACTGGTTTAGGCAGGGTGCCCTACGTCAAGTGGTTGGGTGGTGCTCGTATTAATGTCTCCCAACTGCTCAGAGATCGAGCAGGGGAGAATGAAAGTGTTACATCCTTACAGGAGGTGCGTTATGACTTGACTGTATTAACTGGTTCTGGCTTGCGTTAGAAGCCCCCCCCTGTGGGTGGGGTTACAAATAAGTGTAGTTAGTAGTGCTCCTAGTCCTATATGTGTTGTCCTGTTCGACAACTATTGTGCTGTAGCGGTGATTCTCCTGTGTCATCTGTACTCTGATCGACCACTGCTGCTTGACTTCACCTATATTTGTAGCAGCTGTTAGCTTGTATTTCAGTTTGATCTCCGTCACCTGGTAGGGTCCAAGGGGATGGCCAATACCTTGCTTGCCATGCTGGTTAGCGGGATGGTGACCCCATATTAGTTAGGTAGTACAATGATGATACTGTGCCAGATACCGGTGGCACTATACCCTGTCTATCACTGTCATGGCATCAACCCCCATCTTATCGCTTGACTTTTGGCGCACTGGTCATTTAGGGCTGAAGTGCTTCACTTGGGCCTCCAGTCGGGAGCCCTCGTGTCGAGTGGCACCCTCCAACTTGGGATTCCAATTGGCTGGAGCGCCCCTAAGTCAGGAGTGTCATAAGCCAATTGGCTTGGCTTACCCAGTCTTTGAGTGCTGGTCATAGACTTGGTGAGGATATCTTGGGTTTATGCACTCATCAACACAACAACAACAACAACAACAAAGCCTTTAAGTCCCAAACAAGTTGGGGTAGGCTAGAGTTGAAACCCATCAGAAGCAATCAAGGGTTTATGCACTCATCAATCATATTTTTTTTTATGACAAAAGAATGTGACATATTTGCGATGTTAGCTGCATTATCGTATTTATACCTTTTACCAACATTAATAATCTAACCACAAGATATACTTCTTTAATGCTCAATACATCCATTGTTTGTACAGGACAGGAGAAACCAAAATCTTTTCAGTCAAGTAAATAGGAACATAATCAACATACCAAAGACCATCAGTGCCATTAACAACCTGAATGAGTGTGCCAATTTGTTCCATTGGGTTATATCTGCCGCATCATCTTTGAAATCCATGTGTAGTGGAACACAACTGGAAAAACTTCAAGGCGATGCACGACAGTTGCAGAGTGACCTTCAATGTCTTAGTGATACTCTACCAGCAATGTACAACCTCATTGATCGAGCAGAATGGAGGATCCATGATCATTATGTGGCTGACCTCCTTTCAAAACTCAAAGATGCAGTGTATGATGCAGAAGACCTTCTAGATGAGTTTAGATGGTATGAGAAAAAGGTTTCAGTAGAGGGCAATGCGATCTTAGTGGAACCAATCATTGACTTCTTTCATAGTGTCACTCAGGGTAGCTTCAACAAGGTGACTGGTATCCAGAAGAGGCTCAATCATCTTTCTGGACAGCTTGAGAAAATTGGCTTACATCAAACAATTCCACGGTTTGACAAATCCTTCAGGCCCGAGACCACGGCTTTCCCTATTGAGCCAGAGATTTTTAGTCGTGATAACGAAAAGGAGAAGTTGATAAGAATGCTTGGTGTACCAACAGATAATAGCACTGGTCCTTCTAAACGCAAGAGGAAAAGAAATGCAGTTTGTTCATCAGCAAGCAACCAAATTTGTGCTACCATTGATAGTAATGAAGCAACAATAACGAGCGTTCCAGTTTTGCCAATTGTTGGAATTGGGGGTGTTGGGAAAACCACCTTGGCTCAAGATATTTGCAACAATTCAAAAGTGATATGCCACTTTGAGCTGGTAATTTGGATTTTTGTCTCAGATGATTTTGATGTCAAGAGGTTAACTAAAGAAGCCTTAGACCAATCTTCTCCTCCAGAGAAAGTGCCAAAAACTGACAATTTGAATCTTCTCCAGGGTGCTCTTGCACAAAGTCTGAGCAATAAAAGATTCTTAATTGTCCTTGATGACATGTGGGATGGAAATGAGCTAGATTGGAAGCGCTTCTGTGCACCTTTTAGAAATGCACTTAAGGGAAGCATGATGCTTGTCACCACTAGGTCTCCGAAGGTTGCTGATGTAGTGCGTACAATGGATCGCTTTCCCTTAGAGGGTTTGAAAGAAGATGTGTTTCGGAAGTTCTTTAAGTTCTGTGTGTTTGGGCCTAATAGCTCCAACATTGATCCAGAGTTGGAACGGATTGGTGAGAAAATACTCCCAAAGTTGAGAGGCTCTCCTTTAGCTGCAAAAACTCTTGGACGGCTGTTAGGAATGAGCCTTGAGCTAGCACATTGGGATAGGATTCTCAAGAGTCAGCTGTGGGAGCTTCAACAAAAGGAGACCGACATTTTGCCGGCTCTTCGGTTGAGCTACATGTATTTACCATTGTATTTAAAGAGATGCTTCTCGTTCTGTGCTGTGTACCCGAAAGATTACATATTCAAAAAGGAGGATTTAGTGGAGATTTGGGTGGCAGAAGGCTTAGTGGAACATCACCCTAACATTTCACTTCATCATACTGGTGGTCAGTACTTTGAAGAACTTGCACATCTGTCATTTTTTCATAAGTATCCTCGGTCCCACAAGAAATATGTAATACATGATTTGATGCATGACATGGCACAACTGGTTTCAAAGGACGAGTGCTTTATAGTAAAAGAAAAAAATGATATTCCCAAGATGCCTCAGAATGTCCGCCATCTGTCAGTGGTCAACGGCGGAGATATTCAGTGTTCTGACTTATTGAAGCATGACATGGCACAGCATAGAAAGCTGCGCACCCTATTTTGCCACCTGTCTTTAGAGAGTGAAACTGATAATACTGTGATGGAGAAATGGTGTAATGAACTTTTGTGCATGCGTGTCATGGTCTGTTCTATCTCTAATTGGGGCTTACCAGGTAGTATTAGCAATATGAAGCTACTTCGGTACCTTCAAATCCTCGACTCTAGCCTTTGCAAGAGCCTTCCTTCAGCATTCTGTTGCCTCTATAACATGCAAATATTTAATGCTACGAAATGGAGCATTGATGACATTCCTAGCATCTTTGGTATGCTGATCAATCTGCAGAAATTTAAATCGGTGAAATGTCAATTTCATCATATACATTCAGTGAATATTCGTGGAGGTGCAAGTCGTAACTGCAACTGACGAAGGGCCAGGAAGGAAATTATTTTTCAAAACTATAATGGTGAATCCCTTCCAATCTTCTTTCATCCACAAAACTTGCCAAATGTAACATCACTTGGGGTTGCTCATCGGGAGAATGTCAAGAGCATATCATTACAGAGTTACAACAGCACTGATAGCACTTTCTTGTCGCTGACCGATGTCCGAATTGAAGGTTGCCAAAACTTATCAAGCTTGGAACAATTGCTACAACCTGCTTATGTGCCTAACATCAAGAAAATAAAAATTCTCAGTTGCAGCAATTTGGAACGTGTACCAACTGAGAAGTTTGGAGGTTTACTTTTCCTAGAAGTACTGTATGTGTTCAGATGTCCAAAGATCAAATCACAATGGCTGTGTGCTCCATCCCTAAAGGAGATGTATCTGTATGACCCTGGGGATCTCATAGACAACATTGAGTGTAGTTCTCTCACCAAATTTCATATATGGGGGTATCCTACAGAATCCATCGAACTAAAAATGTGGAATCTTCCGTCACTGCAGGAGCTCCGGATCGGTTATTGTGGTTCTCTGACGATTATTAGAGATTCGGAACCTTTATCCACAGACCTTTTCCACAGCGGTACCAGAAGCAGAATGGGAAAGTTCCCCTTACTCACTCACCTAACCATTAGCTCCTGCGGGGAGCTTAAAACTATGGATGACCTCCTGTATCTCCCAGCCATTGAGAGTATTAAGATTCGGAACTGTGGCTTGCAGTCCCTGGCAGCTAATAGATTAGGAGATTCTTCTCGTCTGAAAGACTTGGAGATTTCAGATTGTTCAAGTCTCGACTGGCAAAGCGGATTGTTGTTACCATCGTCTCTCCAAAATCTCACGTTATGGAATTGTGGGGATTTCTCTGGCTCGTTTCCTAGTTGCCTGGAGAACCTCACCTCCCTTGAGTCACTGGAGATTCATGACTGTGAATGCATAGTGTCCGTTCCTGGCCACATGTGGAGCAGTAATCTCAAATCACTTCAGAGTTTGGAGTTTGTAAGTTGTTCAAAGCTTAAATCAATTGGTGGACCAGACGCAATTGCACACATAAGAGATTTATTAATTAAGAAATGCCCAGAGTTGAAGGAAATTGACCAACCAATGAGGAAAGGCTTATTTTCCTAGATTGCTTGCACCAGAAAGTGGGCTCGCGCTCTTTTTTCTATGGTACGTATATGCCACTTGTTTGCAGTATAACTACGGTTACAGATACAGAACCATGCTAGGACACGTTCTTTATGCCATGTTTTCATGAATTAGATCATATTTATGTCTTAGCCAGTTATTGTTACTGTTAAGCTGCTAATTGTTTCGGAAAGCATAGCAGTCCCACTGCTGATTGCAGTTACACTACTACTTTCTGGGTAACTCGGTGGGTTAGGTTCATGCATGAGTGTGCTTACATTTTAAGTTATAGAAGAATATTCTTTTTTTTTTTGCTCATCGTGTTGTCTTCCTGATGACAACAGATGGAAATTAAAGCCGGTTGAGATGGAGCAAATATGTGCAGTGCAGGCTGCAGGGCTCGACCCAACAAGAACAAATGAAACATCTTACTTCTGCCTGAATGGTTGAATCCGGTTCTGATGCTCTTATGGCTGTGTTTTCTTCCCTTCGCTGCAAGATGACCCGAAAAAACATTCATAGATTGTGGGCAGAACATAAACATAATTGTACCCTCGGTTACGCTTTTTTTTTTATCAAAAACGTGACTTAAATGCACTCTATTTAATATCATATTCGGATGATTGGAACACGGGGACTTCACTTCACACGCTCCATTAGTTTTGTTGGGTGTGTTTGGTTTACTAATAATTTATTTATTACTGGAGGGTCCACAACTAGAGTAGCCTCTGCATCTCCTACGTTTGGAAACTCTGGTGGAGAAGGCACCACGGGATTGGGCTGCCTATTTTATAGGCTCGTCCGATTAGCAGAAAACTTTTTTTTGTTGACCAAAGAGAACACACACACAGCCACACAGTTTCTGCCTAATTTTCTACCAGATGCGAGCTTTCAAATTAAGCAGGCCTAGATTTGTGCCTACCAGATCAGGGAAAAGGCTATGCGGAAGAAGGGCAACCAGCCACCTCGGTGATGCATCAGTTAGTGGAGCCAACCTCCCAAAAATGGATTATTAAACTTGAGTGCGTGGGTACATGAGTAAATTTCATCAGGGATTATTAAACTTGTCCCATATTCCTCATATAGATTACTGTACTCTCAAAATGAATTTTTACTCTAATGTTGCTAATTATGCTATATATAAGGTCAGAATAATCATATTTTGCACTAAATTGCCCATGTGGCATATGCTAACTATGTGACAACATGACCCAGACCTGTAGAGCTAATGAGTAAATTTTATTTGCGGTCCTTAAAACTGGGTTGCATTTTCATCAATGTTTTAGTACTCTTAAAATATATTTTTGGCGCCCTAAACTTTCTAATTGTTCTACAGATAATATTTAAATCTTTAGAATGAAATGCAGTTTGTTCATCAGCAAGCAACCAAATTTGTGCTACCATTGATAGTAATGAAGCAACAATAACGAGCGTTCCAGTTTTGCCAAGATATTTGCAACAATTCAAAAGTGATACGCCATTTTAAGCTGGTAATTTGGATTTTTGTCTCAGATGATTTTGATGTCAAGACGTTAACTAAAGAAGCCTTAGACCAATCTTCTCCTCCAGAGAAAGTGCCAAAAACTGACAATTTGAATCTTCTCCAGGGTGCTCTTGCACGAAGTCTGAGCAATAAAAGATTCTTAATTGTCCTTGATGACATGTGGGATGGAAATGAGCTAGATTGGAAGCGCTTCTGTGCACCTTTTAGAAATGCACTTAAGGGAAGCATGATGCTTGTCACCACTAGGTCTCCGAAGATTGCTGATGTAGTGCGTACAATGGATCCCTTTCCCTTAGAGGGTTTGAAAGAAGGTGTGTTTCGGAAGTTCTTAAGTTCTGTGTGTTTGGGCCTAATAGCTCCAACATTGATCCAGAGTTGGAACGGATTGGTGTGAAGATACTCCCAAAGTTGAGAGGCTCTCCTTTAGCTGCAAAAACTCTTGGACGGCTGTTAGGAATGAGCCTTGAGCTAGCACATTGGGACAGGATTCTCAAGAGTCAGCTGTGGGAGCATCAACAAAAGGAGACTGACATTTTGCCGGCTCTTCGGTTGAGCTACATGTATTTACCATTGTATTTAAAGAGATGCTTCTTGTTCTGTGCTGTGTACCCGAAAGATTACATATTCAAAAAGGAGGATTTAGTGGAGATTTGGGTGGCAGAAGGCTTAGTGGAACATCACCCTAACATTTCACTTCATCATACTGGTGGTCAGTACTTTGAAGAACTTGCACATCTGTCATTTTTTTCAGAAGTATCCACGGTCCCACAAGAAATATGTAATACATGATTTGATGCATGACATGGCACAACTGGTTTCAAAGGACGAGTGCTTTATAGTAAAAGAAAAAAATGATATTCCCAAGATGCCTCAAAATGTCCGCCATCTGTCAGTGGTCAAAGGCGGAGATATTCAGTGTTCTGACTTATTGAAGCATGACATGGCACAGCATAGAAAGCTGCGCACCCTATTTTGCCACCTGTCTTTAGAGAGTGAAACTGAAAATACTGTGATGGAGAAATGGTGTAATGAATTTTTGTGCATGCGTGTCATGGTCTGTTCTATCTCTAATTGGGGCTTACCAGGTAGTGTTAGCAATATGAAGCTACTTCGGTACCTTCATATCCTCGACTCGCCTTTGCAAGAGCCTTCCTTCAGCGTTCTGTTGCCTCTATAACATGCAAATATTTAATGCTACGAAATGGAGCATTGACGACATTCCTAGCGGCTTTGGTATGCTGATCAATCTGCAGAAATTTGAATCAGCGAAATATCAATTTCATCATAGATATATACATTCAGTGGATGTGCATGAAGGTGCAAGTGCAACTGACGAAGGGCAGAGAGGGCAATTCCAGATAGAAAACTATAATGGTGAATCTCTTCCAAGCTGGTCTCATCCACAAAACTCAGAGCAGATTCACCGTTATGGCAACACTAATTGCACTTGTCCCTGACTGATGTAGTCATTGTTGGTCCAGAGATCTCCCGCACAGGTGAGCTGACCGCTCACCTTCATTGTCATCCACACACACAGATAGTGGCGGATCCAGGAAATATTTTAGGGGGGGCTGAACAACACTGCTGCTGGATCTTAAGTCTCAGCCCCCCCTACACTATAGAACTTTGCCTAAAAATTCATAAGGGCTCTACAGTAATTTGCACTGATTCGGTATGGGTAGGGGGGGCTTGAGCCCCCCCCCCGTCCCACTGCTAGATCCGCCCCTGCACACAGAGCACCAGCGTTGGTCGGAGCTCTGCAGAGGAGATGGCAAAACTGAACTGGCTCACTTTACTGAGTTGCAGTGGGAAGCTATATATACAACTCTATCCATCTAATCCTAGTACACAGACATGCCAGGCTGCCATACTGCTATAGTGACTAGATGTGACAGCAGGGCTGACTTTGGCGCCTGCCCCTGCTGTGTCTACAGTGTGGCAAGGGAGCCTTTCGGCGCCTGCCCCTGCCGTGGTTACAGTGCAGCAGCAGGGGAGCCCTTTCCGCGCCTGCCCCTGCCGCGCGTTCAGAGGAAGAGTAGCATATTACTCTACAATTCTTTCCCTAATCCTGCTGCTAACCCTAGAACCTTCACAATGTCGATTATCTTCTTCAGCTCCTTGAACCGAAGACGGCCGAGCGGTTTGGTGAGGACGTCTGCGAGTTGCCGACCAGTTTCGACAAACTTGTTGACGATCTGCCCTCCAACGACACAGTCCTTGAGGAAGTGGAACTTGACGTCGATGTGCTTGCTCCTGTCGTGGAGAACCGGATTCTTCGTGAGGGCGATGGCGGGCTGGTTGTCCACCATCGGTCTTTGGCGGTGAGCTTCCACACGGTCGGCTTCGCCAGCCGGCCGACGAAGCCGGTTACACGCTTGCGACGCCATTGTGGCCGCCGCCACATACTCGCTACCGCGCGCGTGGGCGGCGCCACCGGCTTCTATTTCGGCGACGACGACCATGAGATTAGAGCCGACCCGAGAAAGATGAGCACGCCAGAGGTGCTCCGTCGTCTGTCGATGTCCCCCGCCATGTCTGCATTGCTGAACACAGTGAGGTGCAGCCCACTTCCACCGGTCTTGGGGAAGACGATCTCCTGATCCACCGTCCCCTTGACGTAGCGCAGCAGCCGCTTCACCGCGGCCCAGTGATCCTCTCAGGGATCCTCCATGAAGCGGCTGACGTAGCCCATGGCGAACACAATGTCCGGCCTCATGTGGACTAGGTAGCGCAGACCACCGACGATGCTCCGGTAGAGTGTTGCGTCTACCTTCACCGCGGTACTGGCCTTCGTCAGCTTCAGCCGCTCCTCCATCGGAGTCACGCACGGCTTGCACTCAGCCGTGCCGCCCCGCTCCAACAGCTTCGAGGCGTACGCGCTATGGCCGTGGATGAGCTCAAGAGCGTCCGCCTCGTGATACTTGGCCGCCTTTGGGAACGGCAGCCTCCTCTGCTTTCTGGCCAGACAGCTGTCACACAGCTCGCTTGCGTGCTTGGTGTGGGGCAGCCCTCGAACCATCTTCTCCAGCTGACCGAGCGCGTCGAAGCTGAGATGGCCGAACCTGGCATGCCACAACCACGGCTCCTCGGTGTGCCATGCTGCTAGGCACATCGGCTGCTCCACCTTCAAGTCGAGCAGGTACAGCCGGTTCCAGGACCTCTTCACCTTGGCAAGAAGGTGCTGCTCGCGGTCCCTGATCCTGAGGACGCTGTCCTTGATCAGCAACTCGCTGCCGCGCTCATCCAGCTGGTCAATGCTGATGATGCTTGAACGCAGCTGCGGAAGGTAATGCGAGGTTGACAGCCTTCAGAGCCTTGCCGTGCCCTTCCACCGCCATCACCTCTCCCTTCTCCTTGGCCTCAACGTTGTGCAGTACACAGAACGTCACCATCAGGAAAGTGGCCTCATCATCCTCATCAGCCTCAGCCTTCTTCTCCTGCTTGCGATTTGGGCACTACTTTGCCCAATGGCCCGCCTTCCCGCAGCGTCGGCAGTCGTTGGGGTCGACCTTTTTCTTCTTCTCCGAAGAAGCCTTGCCGCGGCGCTTGCCATCACCACCACGGCTGGAGGAGGCTTCCCCGGACTTCTTCATCAGGGCAGCCCACTCCTCCTCTATCAGCAGCAGCTTGCCGCTGTCCGTCGTTGCTATGGGCTGCTCCATGTGCTCGTTCACCGCCCACAGACAACCAGTCACATCCTCAATGGTAAGGGTGGACAAGTCCAGCATCGTCTCTATGGAGAGAGCGATCTGGATGTACTTCACAGGCACGGAGTGGAGGTACCTAGAGACCGCATCTTCTTCATCGATGGTGACGCCGTGGCTCCTCAGCTTACTGATGAGCGACTGTAGGCAGAGGGAGAAGTCCTCCACTGACTCACCATCCTTGAACTTGAGGTTGACGTACTCCTGCTTCAGCAGCTAGGCCGTTGCCTTCTTTGGGCGGTCGAAGCTGACGCACATCGCTGCAATGGCCTCCCACGCCTCCTTAGCAGAGTTCTTCGCCCCCAACAGCTCCCTGTACTCCGCTGGCACAGCAGCGATGATAGCCTCCAACGCTGACATGTCATCTTCTTCGTTGTCGGTGTCCTTGTCAATGACATTCTAGAGCCGTCGGGCTCTAAGCTTGACCTTCATGGTCACCGCTCACTCGCCATAGTTGGTGTGAGTCAGCGTTAGCCAACTGACGCCGTTGACCTCCCGCACCGTGCGGACGACGACCTCCTGTCGTGGCTGGGCAGCCACAGTAGCGCCACTGCTGTCGTCCATTTCCAAACCGTCCGTCATCGCTGGCGGTTAGTCCGGCGACGGCGCTTGTACGGCTCCGATACCACTTTTTGATCCGAGATCTCCTGCACAGGTGAGCCGACCGCTCATCATCGTTGCCGACCACACACACTACGACTGGAGGTAGAAGAGTGAGGGAGAACAGAGCGCCCACATACAGCAGAAGCACCAGCGTTGGCCGGTGCTATGCAGAGGAAATGGCAAAACTGAACTCGCTCACTTTACTGAGTTGCAGTGGGAAGCTATATATATAAGTTTACCCATCTAATCCTAGTACACAGACATACCAGGCTGCCATACTACTACAGTGATTAGATGTGACAGCAGGGCTGACTTTGGCGCATGCCTCTGCTGTGGTCACAGTGTGGCAGGGGAGCCTTTCGGCGTCTGCCTCTGCTGTGGCTACAGTGCAGCAGCAGAGAGCCCTTTCGGCGCCTGCCCCTGCCGCGCGTTCAGACAAGGGAGAACAACATATTACTTTACATTCTCTGCCTGGTTTCCATGTTGCCTGGAGAACCTCACCTCCCTCGAGTCACTACAGATTATTGGCTGTGAATGCATAGTGTCTGTTCCTGGCCACCTATGGAGCAGTAAACTCAAATCACTTCAGAGTTTGAAGTTTCTTAGTTGTTGGAAGCTTAAATTAATTGGTGGATCAGACGCAATTGCACACATAAGAGATTTATGGATTGATGACTGCCCAGAGTTGGAGGAAATTGACCAGCCACTGAGAGGCTCAGTTTTGTAGATTGCTTGCATGAGAAAGTGGGCTCACACTCTTTTTGTATGGTACGTATGCCTCTTGTTTGCGGTAGAAACTATGGTTGCAGTTACAGAACTATGTTAGGACACTTGTGAGTGTTTCTATATGTCATGCTTTCATGAGTTAGATCATATTTATGTCTTTGCCAGTTATTGTTACTCTTAAGCTGCTAATTGTTTCTGAAAGCATAGCAGTTCCACTACTGATTGCAGTTACACTATTACTTTCTGGGTAACTTGGTGGGTTAGGTTCATGAGTGTTTGTACATTTTCCATTATAGAAGAATAGTCTGTTCTCTTTAACTCATTGTGCTGTCTTCTTGATGACAGCAGGTGGAAATTAAAGATGGTCCAGATGGAACAAATACGTGCAGTGCAGGGCTCAAAGACCCAGTGACAACAAACAAAACATATCACTTCTCCCTGAATGTCTGAATCCGGTTGTTATGCTCTTACGGCTGTGTTTTCTTCCCTTAGCTGCATAATGGGAAAGTTCCTGAAACTCACTCACCTAACCATTATGAACTGCGACAAGCTTGAAACTATCTATGACCTCCTACATCTCCCTGCTATTGAGAGTATTATGATTTGGGCCTGTGGCTTGCTGTCCCTGCCAACAAATAGATTAGGAGCTTTTCCTTGCCCGGAGAATTTGGACATTTCATTGTGTCCAAGACTTGACTGGCAAAGCGGAATGTTGTTACCATCGTCCCTCCAAAACCTCACGTTATCGAGTTGTGGGGATTTCTCTGCCTGGTTTCCTAGTTGCCTGGAGAACCTCACCTCCCTCGAGTCACTGCAGATTCGTGGCTGTGAATGCATAGTGTCGGTTCCTGGCCACCTATGGAGCAGTAATCTCAAATCACTTCAGAGATTGCAGTTTCGTCATTGTCCAGATCTTATATCAATTGGTGGACCAAATGCAACTGCAAATATAAAAAATGTAGTTATTGAACACTGCCCAAAGTTTGAGGGACAAACGAGCTGAGGATCTTTTTCTAGGTACGGACGCTACTTGTTTGCTGTGTAAATTATGGTCACAAACTTGTGTTAGCACATTTTTTAGTGTGTGCGTGTTGCGTTGTTTAATAAAAAGTTTGATTCCATTTACATTTTTCATTATAACAGAAGAATGGTATCCCCCCCCCTCTCATTGTGTTGTCTTCTCGATGACAGTTGGAACTTGGAATTTAAAGATGGTTGTGACGGAGCAAATAGCTGCAGGGTTTCAAGAGTCAAGACACACTGAGAAAACAAAACATATCACTTCTCCCCCAAATGGCCGAATCTAGTTCTTATGTTGTGACGACTGTTCTCTTCCCTTTGCTGCAAGATGACACGAAAAACCATTTCATATAGACTGTTTTCTGTTATAAGCCTGATGTGTTATATCTGTGACATATCTATTTGCAATTCCTGGTTCTGTGCAAAATAAGTGGGGGCTCAACACTACAACACTTACATTATATTACATAACTTGTTACTGGAGAGGGGCAAGAGCTAGAGTTGCCCCAAGTTTCTGTGTGTTTGGTTTGTGGAAAAATATATGCAAGGTAGCCAAGCCCAAATTTGCCTTGGGCCATTTAGCTGTCATTTGGTTGTGCGCGAAAATTTGGCATGGTAGTCATTTTAGTTCATTTAATTTAGGTGGCCAAAGTTGGCAAGTTGGCCAAAACGAGGGCCACCAATTTGGTGGCTAAGATTTCGCCGTGCAAAAATTTGGCTTTGCTATTTGGGCCATATATTTGTATGGAACTAAAAAAGCATGAGTTGAGTGATCTTTTCAGTGCAGATCATTTGTATCATGTATGTTTTTTTATATGGAACTAAATATATGGATTGATTTATCTTTGACTGTAGCAACGCCCATCCATTTAACTACATATCCCCCCTCTATCCAGGAATCATAGCTGTATTTTGCAATGGAAGGTTATTTTTTTTTCTAACAATCAATCAGATTATATTAAATTTCAACAGGTTCTAAAATTTGCATAAAAAGATTTGTATTCAAAGTGTCCCTAAGATGATATAGATTTTTTGAGCAGTTGACAATGCATAGTAAGAAAGTAAATGGTTAAAATTAACTTTCTTGGACTAACTCCTAATCAAAATACGATTATTACTCATAATTCGGTGGCATATGATTTTCCAAATAGTTACTACACATAGGATTTGAGTGACAACTCAGTCCCAACTTGGATGGAATTGTATTAAGATAAGAAACTTTGGTTTCAGAACATATGGATGGTTAAGACCATGGTTTAAAAATATAGCTCTACTAGTGGAGTTTCTAGAACTGAAAAAAGACCATAGTTTGAGCAAAACTATGATTTTTAAAACTATAAAATTTATCATATCCAAATACATACTAAAAAACCATATTTTTTTATAGAAATATATTATTTTTTAAAAACTCTAAAAATATTTTCGCGCACAGGCAAACAAATGTCACAATAAAATACTCCCTCCCTTATTAAATTATAAGTCGTTTAGTTTTTTCTAGATATGCTACACATCTAAATATATATTTTATCTAGATACATATTAAAATCGATGTATCTACAAAAGCAAGATCGATCTACATTTTGAAATAGAGGGGGTATTTCTATTTCGGTCTTGTTTAGATACCCTCAAAATTCCAAGTTTTTTCATTCTTTTTCCATCACATCAATTTTTAGTCGTTTGTATGGAGCATTAAATGTAGGTAAAAAAAATAACTAATTGCACAGTTTAGTTGGAAATCACGAGATGAATCTTTTGAGCTTAGTTGGTCCACGATTGGACAATATTTACCAAATAAAACGAAAATACTACTATTCATCGAGTTGAAATTTTTTTCAATCTAAACAAGGCCTTCATAGCCAAATTCATCCCTTTACCTTGAAGTTACTGACTTGTGGACCCAGAATCTTATCCCCTCCTCTGCTCTGCTTCTCCATCCTCGGCGAGCTCCACGCAGACCCAGAGCGGCCGGCACTGCGGCGGAGGTCCAACCGTCCAAGCCGAGCTCCGTTTCCTCCCCGCTCCCAACCGCGCAACCCTGTCCATGCCGCGCGCGGTGTGGCCTCGGCGAGCCCCCGTGCATTTCCGCCGCCGGCGCGCGGCCTGCTAAGCGACGACCATTCCTCCCCGCGCGCCTCCTCCCCCTCTCCTCTCGCTCTCGTAAACCCACCCCAGTACCCCACTCGTCCTCATGGCCCCACAAGCCTACACCGCATCCCCCTGCACGGGGTCTGCTCTCTTCTCCAACTCCCGAGTACCGCCGCCGCCTCAGCCGCGTCTGCGTCTTCTTCTCCAGCGGGGCGCGGTGGCGCCGTCGGCCGCGGGGAGGCACGGAGGCCGCGTAGCCCCGTCGCAGGAGAGGCGCCGCCCCTCGGAGCCGTCGTCCCAGTCCCAGCTCCCGGAACGGAAGCGGCACTGGAAGGCGGGGGAGTTCCCGGGGACCGCTACTGCCGATGGAGGTGGCGGCGGACGGCTCCCCGCGCAAGGGAAGCGGCATTCGAAGGCCAGGGAGTTTCTCGGGACGGACAGCGGCGGCTGCCTCGCCCCCGCCCCGTCGCAGGGGAAGCGGCATTGGAAGGCCGGCGAGTTCCCGGGGACCGCCGCTGGCACCGGTTCGGGGACGCCGAGGACTCCCCTCAAGAACGTCAAGAAGCGGCTGGATGCCCGCGCGGACGGCAAGGCGTGGGCGTGCACCGTCACCGAGGCCCTCGCCGACCGCGTCAGCTCCAAGAACTGGCAAGAGGCGCTCCAGGTAAAACACCACCACCGTTTACATTTGATTTCCAGGTTACATTTGATTTTCCTTGTTTGCACTGCTCCATCGTCTCCAAAAATCCAATAGTTCCCCTGAATTGCTAGTTAGATTCAATTGTTTGTTTGAGGAAAGGAAATCGTGGCAAATGTTGTTACTGGCACTAATAGCGAATTGGTACTGGCAGGTGTTTGAGATGCTCAATGAGCAGCCGTTCTACCATCCCAAAGTGGGCACCTACATGAAGCTCATCGTGCTGCTTGGCCGATCAGGGCAGCCTGCCCGAGCGCACCAACTCTTCGACGAGATGTTGCAACAAGGATGCCAGCCCACCCCTGAGCTTTACACAGCCTTAATTGGGGCTTACTGCCACAGTGGCCTACTGGATGAGGCGCTCCAGCTCCTCAATGATATGAAGGGCTCACCATTGTGCCAGCCTGATGTCTACACATACAGCACCATCATCAAGGCCTGTGTCGATGCCACAAGGTTTGACCTCATCGATGTTATGTACAAAGACATGGCTGAGCGCTCTATAGCGCCCAACACGGTCACGCAGAATATTGTCCTCAGTGGCTACGGAAAGGCTGGACGGCTGGATGGCATGGAGAGAGTGCTCTCCGACATGCTCGACGGCACAGCCTGCAAACCGGATGTCTGGACCATGAACATTATCTTAAGCCTGTTTGGAAACGGGGGCCAGGTTGAATTGATGGAAAAGTGGTACGAGAAATTCCGAAGCTATGGGATTGAACCAGAGATTCGCACACTGAACATCCTGATTGGTGCCTATGGGAAGAAGCGGATGTATGATAAGATGTCTGCAGTCATGGAGTACATGCGCAAGCTTGCATTCCCATGGACAACTGCGACGTACAACAATGTGATTGAGGCATTTGCTGAGGCGGGTGATGCCAAAAACATGGAGCACACATTTAACCAGATGCGCTCTGAAGGTATGAAGCCGGATACGAAGACCTTCTGTTGTCTAATAAATGGGTTTAGCAAAGCAGGCCAATTTCATAAGGTGGTGGGCATGGTTAAGCTTGCTGAGAGGCTTGATGTGCCTGCAAATACATCTTTCCACAATGCTATTCTTGGTGCATGTGCAAGAGCAGATGATCTTATGGAGATGGAGAGGGTCTTCAGGCACATGAAGCATACACAGTGTGATCCTGATGCTTTGACATACTCTATCTTGGTGGAAGCTTATCGGAAGGAAGGAATGACCGATAAGATTTATGCTTTGCATCAGGAGAACCCAACTTTGGTTCCAACTGATTTTGTCATGGTTTAATTGACCCACTAACTGAATAACGGTCCAGAAATGTAAAATCTTGGTTGCATTGGTTGAGAATCTTCTTGCTATCCACGTTTTGGAATTGATAATGCTACCAAGCAGAGTGGCAGCAATTCTCCAACTCCATTTTTTGTCTGTTGGCTTGCAGAGTTAGTATAGAGTATAGATGTCTCCTCCAACTCAAGGGGGTTTCAGCAAGATGTGCCCACGAACCACAGTATGTATAACTCAGATACAAGGAGTTATATGGCTCTGAAAGTGCCTCGGCAAGATTCTGTCTGTAGAATAGCAGAGATAGAAGGGAAACACCACACCCAATGTGAGGGGGGTGACCTTGATATATATAGCCAATTACATGGCAGCATATATGCAATACATGGCAGGTGCTAATCATACTAAATATAGACTTGCCTAATATACACTTTCCTAATGTATATATCTATCACTGTCCAGTTTGAGTTGCCAAGTATTTGAAAACAGAGGGAGTTTACTGAACTGATGAATGGGAACAAAATTGTATGTTTATCCTCCACTATGGCACTGTTAATCCTTTTCTTGAGAAGACAGGATCTATACAGGGTTTGGGAGAATAAAAGAATTCCTAATCCGATGGTAAAGTTTTCTGTGGCCCTACTCTGTACCAGATTACTTAACCTATGCCCAAAATCTTTCAGATTATTAGTTGGAACTTTTTCACATATTTTCATCAATATATAGCCATGACTTCTAGTATGTTGCACATGTACTGAAACTTGGAATATATGTACAAAAGGGTAGGCATTAAGTTTTCTCTAACACCCTTAATGTGTAGTTTAGTGAACATGTGTATTTCACCAAACAATATGTTAAGGCAGTGGATGAAATTTGATTTGTCAGATTCTACAATCTACAGGAGATATGTTGCATTCTTTTTTAATTAGGCATATCGTAGAGTATTACCAACCCTGTAGCCAAGTGATAGATCATAAGGTTTTGAAATTTTGATGGTTGAGATCATGGATTTGGGATTATATAGAAATAACTATATCACTTTTAGAACTATATTCCTTTTTCTTAGGAAAAGATCATGCTGATTTTATGCTTCATGCCTTTCTGCTGCAAAAGTCTCTTGATATCGAATAGAATTTACATAGTTTCAAATTAATCCCGAAGTATATTATTAACTTAGGGGGAAGGTGTAGGCCATCAATTGAGGTGAATTTTTAGGTGGAAAAATAATCATCGAAATCAGAGTTGAAATGGAGGGATGAATGTAGAACCCCCAAAGGTTAAAAAAGGGCAGCCCCAGTGCACGTAGCTCCCGCTTGCGCAGGGTCAGGGGAAGGGTCCGTCCACTTGGGTCTTTTGTACGCAACCTTTCCCTGCATTTCTGCAAGAGGCTGTTTCCAGGACTTGAACCCGTGACCTCATGGTCACAAGGCAGCAGCTTTACCACTGCGCCAAGGCTCCCCTTCAGAACCCCCAAAGGTTATCCGAAAGATTTAGTTCCAGAAAATACAAAGAGCAAGAACATTCCTTAGAATTTCTGAAAATTGATTGATATTATTTACCTGAACTGTGAAATGTCCACAGTAGATGACAAGTGGGTCCAGGGCCAATGTCAAGGTGACTGGACTTCTGGAACAAAGAAAAGGGAATGTTGGCCTTTCATATATATATATATCCTCCTTAGGTTGCTCTTTGGGCTTGGGCCGAAACTAGACCTATTACGGCTTACTAGCTCTGTTTAGTCGTGGACCCATGTGAGCTTGCTAATGGAGCCCGAAAGCTAAAATAGCACCGGAACAGTGGGCTCTGCCCCGTTTCCTGGCTGAAAACAGGGCAACTTTTGAAAACCCAGATTCTGAGGATGCTCTCTGGACTAAAACCACTGGTAACCTCTTCACCATTGGATGATATGAACTGCTAATGGTCACTTACAGTTTACTTATGGAATGAGTAGTAAGTTATACACTATGGGTATATATGTATGCCTTGTAAACGTTCTACATACCTTACAGTTTGCCCATGCCAATAACTTGGGATACCTATGAAAACATGCACTCATTTTATACTCCTATATATGATAGCCTAACAATCACAAACATATCGAAGGTGCGCTTCCGTTTTTCGCGGAGCGCTTCCTCTTGTTGCCTATAGATTTCAGCTCCTGAATCTCACAATCATAGATATAGCTATAGTAAGGTGGTATCTGAGAACTCCATGCCAGGACTTGGAATCTCCCAGCAGGAAGCTTTGCATCTCCATTAATCACTTCGTGCCAGGTGATCTTGGGAACCTCCTTCTGTGAAGAGTGCCGGTACTGATGGTAGCAAATCATCTGTTCAGACCTCATCCTCCCGAAATACACTGGTTTGTTCTGGCTTATAAGGTCGTATGGATGCTCACCGAACCTGGACACATTTTTCTGAAACTGCAATCTCATGAACGCTGCCAACTTGCCCCAGAAATGGGCGTCGAAGCTGTCCCTCATCATACGGGCAATGGCATTTGCAATGGTCATGGACCCGTTCAGCGCCGTGGCAGTCTCCATGGCCAGATTGATGAACCTTGGGTGCGACAACGTGGGATCTGCGCTTCCGAACGCAAGCGTCCTGAAGAAGTACCAGTATGCCTCATTTGATAGAGGCTTCAGAGTTAGAGCCTGTGTTGTTCCAAGCTTTGCGACCTTGACGGACCGACTTGTGAGTATGATCTTGCTACCCATGGGCATCCAATGTTTAGATGCAGAATACAGCCTGTTCCATACATCGTCATCGAGGTCTATTCCTGCTACCTCCACAACAAGAAGCATTCTCCTTGTCCAATGATCTGATGATGTGCGTTTTTTTGCAGATAATCCTTCTCTGAAAGCTGCTAGCCCATCATACGCAAAGTCATGGTCGCTCAAGAACACGGTTTCTGCGAAATGATCACGAACTCTTTCATCCTTACAAACATGAGCGACTAGTGTGCTCTTTCCTACTGTGCAGGGACCGACAATTGGCAGGACCTCCACCGGTTCTTTGACACCATCAGCAGGCTGTGTGTGCAGTAGGAAGTCGATGACATATTGTGCTTCCATCTGGCGACCAAACATGCAGTTTCCCAGCAGGAGATACATGCTGTAAGGCTGGCGGTACATGGGGCGACCGTAGTTCGCCAAGAACAGGACTAGTTCATGTGCATCAACGATCATGGCGCTCAAAGTGTCAAGCACCTCCTGCATTTCTTTTGAGATCTGTACAGCTCTGCTTGTCCAACTGGAGAGACATGGATCGACTCTGGAGAAATGGGAAGAAAGCCGGTGACTCACGATCGTCGTCTGACCATTGCTGCTGGGCCTGGGCTCCTCTTTTTCAGCCTGCTGAAAGGATCTTAAGGTGTCGAGGGCGTAGTAGCCTCGGTGCATGGTGTCTATCAGGGCGTCCAGCTGCCGGAGCATGGCCTGGTTTGTGATCCGCCGCCCCATGGCCTCGTCGACGATGACCTGCGCCCGGAGCAGGACCCTGTGGAGGCGATCCTCCACGTCGTCCAGCACAGGAGGCTTATTGGGGCGCTTGCTCGCCAGGAAATCTATGCATCTAGTGGCTAGGTCGCCTAAGATTGCAGACAGGAAAATCTCCATTAGCGACACCATCGTAGCTTGATCTGGATTTGTGTATTTGTGCTAGCAAGCTCTATGTATGTATGCGTTTCTTTCTTGTAAAAACTCCAATGCATACTCAAGGAGGGCACAGGCATATGTATAATAAGAACACTAAGCTAGCTGACAGTGTCGATCGGTATTGACTAGCCCACTCATATGCGTGTCTGACCTTTGCGTTGGGTAGGTGTTGGACGAGTCTTGCACGCTAGCGCTGTACAATTCAAAAGTTGGGTATTTCTCCTCCCAACTTGTCAACGCTTTCATGGTGAGATGACATGTTCCAGGAAGGGTCTTAGGCGATCCTCCACGTCGTCCAGCGCATATAACTTGTCCTCAAAGCTTGTTAACTGATTTTTTACTTGGCATATTGCAGTAGATACCTTTAAGTTGGTGTGATTTGAGCACTATGACTATGATAAGAGAAGACAATGAGATTAGAATCTCAGAGGAGCAAGTACATAAATTCTGGTTGCAGTCATTTAAGTGTACACAAGAAAACAGAGCAAGCAATATACCAGATCAAACTGCTGCACAGTTACAGTACTGGTCCTTGACAGATCTGTATGCCTATGCAACCATGTGATGTGAATTTTTTTTTATTACAACTAACTCCAGTCAATTTCCAACTTTTTGTCTTTGGGGCCAGAGATTGGTGGGATGCCAAATCTTCTTGAACCACGAGACTCTGCTTGGCTTGCCAGAGGGCTCTGATAAGTAGTTTCATCTCCATGAGGCAGGGAGTCATGCAAACCACCAAACAGGACTGTGAGGCTCTGTTGCAGAATGGCCTGCTGGGTTGAACAGAAAAGATAAAGCCGAAAACGCAGGCTTCATGCCCAGGCTCATACGTCTGGCTCTGGAGTAAAACCAACAACAGGGAAGGATTCACCATAATCCATGAAAATATATGCCTCTGGCTCATGCGTCATTATGTACTATGTAGATATATGCAGTATCACTTAAGATATGAAATAGGCTTACACATCAGAATTAACTCTGCATAAACCAGAAAATGACAAAATTAACAGAATCTGGCTCCATCTTTCATGCAATGCTTCCTCTTCGCACCTATAATTTGGACCTCAAATTTTCCATGTCTCTCGATGCTTCCATACAGAACATCTTGGATTCTTATCTCGGGAACCCCCACTTGGGAAGACTGGTGATACTGATGACAACTCATTAAATCTTCAGAAGGCGCAGCCATTCTTCCAAGCCGTACAGGTTTATTTTAATTAAGAAGACCAGACGGATGCAGCCCAAATTTGGTGATATGCTTCTGGATGAACCGTAAAGGTTTATCTTCAGAAGTCGCAGCCAAAGGTTATTCTGATTTTGGCACTGCTTTTGGCTTCACCTGGTTATTCTG